AAAATTAACTACTTACTGTAGCTTACTGATTATCTCTATTATTTAAAACCAATTTATTGGTTGCTTGTTTGTGAATTTTGTCAATGTTAGGTATAAATATATTTATTGTGAGATTTTTTTTATTAATGAGCTAAATAGGATGTTAATGTGTTGTGTTTAAATTTAAAATAATATCAAAACATTGTTTTTGATAACATTTGAGATAATTTCAAAACTAAAAAAATTCAAGAATATTAAAAGTAAAAATTCTGCCAAGTCATTAAGCAGATCATCAAATACTTATTTTTGGCCCATTTTCTTTTCCCTTTCCATTTACCTGTTTATTTTGTCTGATGCCATTTGAAAATAAGGAACAGCACTCCCTAAATGCTCAACGTTCATATTGTCACAGTACAGTTATATCACTTCCTAAAACCTTTAGTTAGTTAGTATGCAGTTACTGAGCATATTGTTCATATTGCATAGTACAGTCATCAAGTACAACAGTTTCAAAATACTGCAGTATAGAGTCACTGAGCACATGGGTTCATATTGTCATAGTACCACTATTTGCTTTAGAATGTTTACCAGTGATACCATACTTCCCAATCCAAAGTTCAAATAGAATGGGTGACAATCCTTCCAGTTATGTAGTTTGATAGAAAATGTCCTGTTCTGGGATCCCTTCCAGTAATTATTACTAGATGCAATGGATATTTAACCCTAGTATTCTGTAAATGTATCCATTAAGAGGATAGATATTCAGTCTTTTAAATTTTTTTCTTGACCCTTTCTGAGTGTACCTTGCAATTATTTTATAAAATTGCTTTTTATTATAGGTTTATCTAATATTGTTACTAATTTGGCTTGGTTAATATACCAGTTTCCCTTTGAAAGTTAATTAATAGGAAGATGTTTAAATACTATGTCGCTATCCATTTTTTTAAAATCATGTACTTAACTAGTTTTAGTGTTTCCTGAGTGGTTTTTCTTTGTAATTGTGTATTTGTATAACTTATGCATTATAGACGTGTATACATATATATGTATATGTATGTATCTATTCATATAAAATTTACTTTGAAACAGGGTCACACTGTATAGCCCAGGCTGCTTTTGAACTCATGATCTTCAGCTTCCTGAATACTGGGATTATAGATGTGAGCCATTGTATCCCCACACTGAGTTTATTTGAAGTGTCTTCAAATCTTCTCCTTATTTAAGAAACATTTTGCTGTTAAGTTGCACAAGTTCCTTATATAAGCTACTTATATATCACTATTATGGATTTTCTCCCCCCAGGAAACTTATTAAAATTTAAAAAAATCAGTTAACAAAAAACTTCTGGCCCATGAATTGTGATGTAGATCTTCACCTATTCCTGTTTGAATATCTCATTGCTCATAATAATATTTTCAATTAAAAATTTTGACACAAATGGTCATTCATACCAGGCTATCCTCAGAGTCACTATGTAGCTAAGGATGACCTTGAACTTCTAATCATCTTGCCTGTATCTCTCAAGTCCTGAACTTACAGGAAAGGGCTACAACCCTCAATATATGCAGTGTTGGAGATCTAACCCATGTCTTTATGCATGCTAGGCAAGGATTATCAGCTGAACTACATCTGTGGCTTGTAAATAGAAATTGAAAATTTCTAATTTTCTAATAGTTCCTCCTAGAATATTTTAAATAGCTTAATTTTTAAAAAGTTTTTCATAATGTATATGTATGTGCATGTGAGCACATGTGTCCACAGAGGCTAGAGGCATCAAATCATTCCTGGAACTGGAGTTACATGTGGTTGTGAGCTCTTCAGCATGGTACATGGAACCAAACTTGAGTCCTGTGCAAGAGCAGTATGTGCTCATAACTGCTGAGTCATTTCTCCAGTCCTAACAACTGATTTTATATATAGATGCCGACTCTAGTGCTGAGTTGGTTTAACACAGTTGATTTTGCATTCTACGTTTGTTGTTTTGTTTTGTTTTTTGTTTTTTTTTAAAATTTATTTATTATGTATATACTCTTCTGCCTGCATGCCAGCAGAAGGCACCAGACCTCATTCAAGATGGTTTTGAGCCACCATGTGGTTGCCGGGAATTGAACTCAGGACCTCTGGAAGAACAGTCAGTGCTCTTAATTGCTGAGCCATCTCTCCAGCCCTGTTGTTTTGTTTTTTGAGACAGGGTTTCTCTGTCTAGCTTTGGAGCCTATCTTGACACTCTCTCTGTAGACCAGGCTGACCTCAAGCTCTCAGAGATCCATCTGCCTCTGTCTCCTGAGTGCTGGGATTAAAGGTGTGTGCCACCATTGCCCAGCTTATGACCTCTATTTACTGAGATGTTCGTAGGTACATAAAGTTAATATATAAACACTTTCAACAATAAAGCATAAATAATTTCTTTTGAAATGGTCTTTTGATGCAGAATTTTGCCAGTTATTAAGGATGAATGCAGACTTGCATATTAGTGAAATCAACGTGTTTGTTAATGTTTACATAAGGGCTAATGTCCTGGCTAACCATCTGATGCTGTAGGATGTAGAGCCTCTTCAGCATTTTCAGAGATGATTGATAATTTCTGGTTTGGGATGTGAATGAAGTGGCTCAAGATGAAGGAGGAAAGGTAGAAGAGTCTAGTTGGACTCAGCTCAAGTATGGTTTGAATGGCCCAATAACCCCAAAGACACCCCCTCATTCCAGAAACCAAGGGGGAAGGCCAATCATAATCTTGATCATACAGCCCAGCCAGACTCCTGGAACCCTCTCTTCTGGCATCCAACTCTGCATGCCTCTTCTTCTCACCTACCATTTCTTCACAGTTAATTTTAGACATTAGCTGTCAGTCTCCTGTTGCAGAAACTGAAGCGATAGTCCCCTCTCCTTTCCCCTTTGTCTCCCAAACAAAGTCTCCAACCACATTGAAGAGAACATAGCAGTCTAATATTTTTAGGCTTGGTGGAGAGCAATGCAGTCTGGAGATGCAATCTGAGGTTCAGTGGATCACACCTTCAGTCTGAGCATTGGTAGAGGTGACAGCTTTCTAGTGGCTAGCTGCTTTGCTTATCAGATCTTTAGCTTGAAACCTATATATCTGGGTTTATATTATTTGTGTTACAGCTGCCTCTTGTAGACGTCTGGTGAAAGCAGTGAGCATTTCCTGCATTATTAGAACTATACACATCTTGCTACTTTATTTTATTTTTAGTTTTTAGAGCTCTTTGTGTGTGTGTGTTTGTGGCATGCTTTTCCTTCAGGGATGAAAGTTTTGTTTCTCAGCAGATACTTGTTTTCAAATTTTTTAATCCTTTTGCTACCTGCTGTATTCTTTTGCTATGGCTGCTATAACAAATTCCTATAGGTGTCTTAGCCAAAGGAATTTATTTGTTCACTATTCTGTAGGCTGGAAGTCCCAGGACAAGATGTGGCCATGCCATGTTTCCCTTGTGGCTCTTCCTTCTTTGCCTTGCAGGGGATGTCTTCCTGTATCCTCACATGGTCTTCTCTTGGTGTGCTTCCCAAATGCTTCTTAAGGACACTGGTCATACTGGATTACAGAACCCCAATGGCCTCATTTTATCTTTCTTATCCCTTTAAAGTTGGTTGTTTCCTAGGGCACAATCTGAGGTACCTGAGTTTAAGACTTCAGTGTCTTAAGTTTGGATGAAGGACATGGGAAGGAAAAAGTTCAGCATATATGCTACCTGCAGTGTGTTTACCTTCCGTCTCTCTCTTCCATACTTTTCTCAGTTTGTTGGTTGTCCTATATTGTAGAGTGAGGTTGTTGACAACTGATTGAATTTAGTTTGTGTGTACATAGTTTACCTATATGTTATGTGTGATAGCTGGGGAAGGGACATGTACATGTAGGATAGGAGGGGGCATGTACATACAGGATCTTTGTTTTTGTTTTTGTTCTTTTTCCTCCTGCCCAAAGAGTGGAATGGGTTCTCACACCAGCAACAGAGCTGTAATAATAGATAGAAAGTAGGGATGTTTAAGGATTCCACTTTGCTGCCTAGGTTCACTTTGGTCCCTATTTTCAACCTGCCCAGCCCTTCCATACCCCTCCCATGACTTAAGAAACTAAACTTCTGATCTACCTGACTAGAATTAAGGAAGGAACCAGGGTCCAGCTTCCTAGTCCATAATCACGCAGATAACCAGCAAGTTTTTGCATTTGCTTGTGAGCCTGGTCCCCACCTTCTGAAGCATCTGAATCTCTGAATCTTTGGGGAAGGCAGGGTTTATTAGTTGCCTCCAATATGCATTGTTCTGTTTCCAAGGATTATCTATATAATTTGAATAATAACCTTATGGAATAGGTTCTACCATTAGCTTCATTTCAGATACAAAAAGAGCCACTAAACTAGAACAGAATTAGTAAATCTGAGTACAGGATTTAAGCATACCTCTACTTGACTTCCCAGTGTGCATCCTTATTCATGCGACCTGTTCTTAGCAGTAAGGAAATACGTGCTTCTTTCTGTAAATCTATGCCATAGGTTTTCAGAAAGCATCGGTAATTCATATGAAGACATTTGTATTATTAGTTGCATGTATATGTATCTAGTGCATGGTAGAAAATATAAACTACACAATAACTCAAAATGAGGTGAATTTCTACACTTATTGGAATGTAAATGTATTTTAATTACAACTAGAGTATGTTTCTTAGAAAACTTGGAGAGTAGAACAATAGGATGATTTTTTTTTGTGTGTGCTTGAGATTTAGTTGTGTAGGCCTAGAGCTATGCAGTGACAGTATGGTGAAATAAATATTTGGAATGTAGGGCTTAGCTCTTTGTTTCTTTGGAATATTTTTCACAGTGCTAACAAGTGTCCATTATAAACTTCATCTTCAGTAACTGTTGACCGATATGCTGAATGACCAAACCAATCATAACTGCAGAACTGTAGTGAATAAATACTTTTTATGTGTTGGCACCAACTGTCAAACATATGCTTGTAGTCAGAGTTATCTCAATGGCATTAATCTTTCTTCCTTTCTTTAACAGGTTGCTTCTATAACTGGATCACGTGTTTACTATATAAAGCACAATGTCTCGATCCCGGCAGCCTCCGCTTGTGACAGGCATCTCTCCAAATGAAGGAATACCTTGGACCAAGGTCACAATTAGAGGGGAGAACCTGGGTACTGGTCCCACTGACCTTATAGGTAAGGGGATGGCGTCTGATGCCTTGTGGCGAGCTACTTTTTTTTTTATTTTGAGTTGTTAAGTTAGGATACATCATTTTGAGTAGTGATCACTATAAAATGACCTGAATATAAATTATTTCCTTTTTTTGGTGAAAGTTACTATTTATCAAATTATCTCTATGCTGTCTTTCTACAGATCCCTTTAGAAAATTTGCCATGGCTGAGATTTGTTCCTGATCCTTCAACTTGGAGTGTCCTGCTTATTTTGCTAATAATGAAAGTTAGATACTGGCTTTAAAAATAGAAGTGAATGTTGGATAGTTGGACTAGAGGGCAAATTTAAAATATAATTTTAAGATCAGTTAAATGCACTACAAAGGAGGGTGAAGAGGTGCATTCCCAGTACATGCTGTTGGATATTGTTCTAATCTTTCACTTCACTCTAGACTTGGCAGAAATTCTGTCAGCCGATTTCATAACTGCTGGAAACCCAGTGCTGAGTACTGGAGTCTGAGTTGGAGCTGCCTTCCCGTGTTAACTGCTGGTGACCAGTTTCACTATCCAGACCATGGTTTATTTTTAGAGAAAGCAAATTGAAGTTTAACATTGTAGTTAATAATTGAGGTTTTGCTTCCCAGATAGTTATCTTTGCTAGTGTTATTTAACTATATTATGTGCAATTTTCTGTGTTCCCCCGTAGTTTTTGGTAGTTAGGAAACGTCTTTTAAATTTAGTCTTACAAAGGTAAGTGAGTGAAGAGGATGACAGTATGCTGTGCTGGGGATCAGACCCAGGGCTTTGTATGTGTATTCTACCGATTGTTATGTCTAATTCAGTGTCTTGGCTTTTGATATAGTTTGGTCCACTAGTTTCTTCATCCACCTTGGAATGCATGAAAACACACCTTATAGATGGAATTCCGTTCTAAAATCGTAACCTATAGTGTCAAAATATGACAGTTAATAGTCTGTACAGTTTAATCTTGCTCTAGCTTTGGATGGTGCTGTTTTTATTTGACCAAGTTACTTTCATAAACTTACTAGTTTGGCTTTCAACCTGCCTCATCTGTTGCTAAGAAACCATTTTTAAGAATCAACAAACTCAACTTGATAAACAAGATGATACCTGTATTATTCAAGTTTTTTTTTTTTTTTTTTTTTTTTTAAACCTGGGGCTAACCCAGGAATGGTAGTGTGCTCCTTTGCGCTTCTTTGAGTTAGAGGAGGCAGGTCTCCATGAGGTTGAGCTCAGCCTGGTCAACATAGAGTTCCAGGCCAGTCAGCATACCATAGTGAGACCCTGTCTCAATGAACAGTGTCAGCAAAAACTCCAGTGCCCCCAAACAATAAAAAATGATGCTATTGTATTTGTTGTGAGGTAAATTTGTTAGTTTTTTGTAAGTAAGCAAAAAATGGGCTTAAACAATAAAACAAGTAGATCACGTGATCTTATTTTCATTTCGTGATATTCAAAATAATTGTTGGACTCTAAATTATATGGTGATTATTAATCTTTGGAGTAAAATGCAGATCAGATACTAAATCAGAGGAATCTTGAAAACAGGTATTAGCAGATACATAACTTTTTCTTGAGTAGTTGATGCCACCTGTGCCTTTCTGGATATCATTCATATTTACTTATATGAAGTGGGTCTAAAATCTTCCCCCATTTCTCAGTTTGAATTGCAGCGTTTGTTACTTGGCAGGATACTTACCTTATGAATGTGCTTAGCAATACTGTGTTTTTTTTTTAATACTATGTCCTGGCATTTAGAGTTGAGTAATTCTCTCTCAGACAGCTTGGCTGGGCATTGCTTCCAGTCACTCCTTGTCAGGGCCTGCTGATAGGCCTGAATTGGGGTGCTGGTTTACTGGGGAGCTGAATGATGGAAGGCTAAAGCAGATAAACTACCTCTGAGAAGTTGCTGTGGAAATGTAAGAACTGAGAGTAATCCAGTAGTGGCCTAGAGTGCATCTGTGAGTCACTGCTCTAGCCTATGCTTGAAATACATTCAATGCCCAGTTCAGTCCACTCAGTAAGACTGTGTGTAACAAATTCTTTTTTGAAGATGGATACGTTTAGAATCCCTTAGGAAATGGTCACTAACTGTCTTCATGTATTTTACCACCTTGTGTCAGTAACTGGGACTTATAATGGTAGCAGTGCTTTCCGGAAACAATTCAAGTTTCACAGTCTAAGTAAGCCAAATGTGTGGACTTTGCTGTAGTCCATGATTGTACTCATTCTTCTGAGACTGGAAGAAGCTTAATACAGTCCAAACAAAGTCTTAGTTGTCAGAGAGAAACCCAGGAAGATGTAGTAGAGCCATGGTGAATCGGCAGACCCCTGTGTCTGTCAGGTTCTGTCACCCCACTGCCTGTCTGTCACTATTGTCAACGTCTATTGGAACAGAAAATGTGGTGGATGTTTTGTTTGTTTGTTGGTTGGTTTTTAATTTGTTGGAAACATGCTTTTACTTTCAGGCCTGACAATTTGTGGACATAATTGCCTCCTCACGGCAGAATGGATGTCTGCGAGTAAAATTGTGTGTCGAGTGGGGCAAGCCAAAAATGACAAAGGTGACATTATTGTCACAACCAAGTCAGGGGGCAAAGGAACCTCAACAGTGTCTTTTAAGCTACTCAAACCTGAAAAAATAGGTAAGACTTTTAGTGACTTTATCCTGAAGAAACAATATTGGTCCTCAGCTGTTAAAAGTGGTGGAATTTGTGTAAAACACACTTAACTCTCATGTCTCAGTAGATGTAGTGTGTTCATTTTGATGACACCAGTATACATCTCAGAGTTTGCCTTACCTTTCTTCTCTCTCCTGGTAGAGCCTCACGGGCAGGCTCTGAACTCACTGTAGCATTCCTTTGAAAGGCAGCTTACTAAGTGACTGTCAGTGTGAAAATGACAATTATAAAGAAATGTCTTACAACTGATAAAGTCTGTCCCCTTGGCAGTTTGGGATACTAGTTTTGGCTTCTTGATCTTGAACAAATGACATTGCTTTCACACTATTATACAGTTAAGATTCAAAGGAACTAGCTTCTACTTTGGCTCAGTCTGTGGTGGTCATATCTAAATCATATCCCTCCTTTTTTACTTTTTGTATCTTCCCAGGGCCAGATGACATGTAGCCTTCTAGCTGTCTATGTTCTTTTTCGGCCCCCGGAGTTGTTCTTCTTTTTTTCTCATGTGCTTACTTCTTGCTACCTTGCAGTGCTTAAGATTTGGGTTTGAGGAGCCAGACTCTTCTAATTCTGAACCTGGGTTCTTACCACCAATAGCTGTATAGCTTCAATGCCTGTTTCCTGGGAATAAAAGTAATATCTACCTCATAGAATTGGATAAGTTAGAACATAGATATAAAGTGTGTATTACTTTAACGAGCAAATTAGTAATTTTAAAATTATTCCCATGGATACTTTATCTTTCAATAAAATATTGTTAGAGTCCTTATTGTGATCCGTTAAAATCTTGTACAAATATACAAATGCAGAATTGCTGTGTAATATGAAAGCAGCAGTCCTAATTAAATTCAGCTTGTGCCTCACCATAGTGAAAAATAAAGTTTTATTGTCTATCTCAGCTCATAGCGCTTTCCTAAGGTGCTGCCCTCCATAAATCTTCATGCACATTTTCAAAGTATAAGCATAAGGAATGGAAGGAAACTAAAATTTGAACTAGTATGTGATATATATATAGTGTGTGTGTGTGTGTGTACATAGAAATATAACCCCATTTAAATATATATGTTTTTTCACATCTACAGAAAGTGAACTCTGAAATCAAAGCATGAACTTGTTTTACAACTTTCTGGAGGAAGTGTAAACATTTGGATAAAATATATATTTTATAATATTTGTTTATGTAGCACATGAAGAAAATTTAGGTGGAAGTATAATTTTATTTTGAATACCCAGCCCAGGGTATTTAGAATGTCTCAGAGAAGATGCAGTACAGATTTAATGACACAGTCCCAGAGTGTTGGACTTCTGCATACGCTTGCTTGTGCGGAGCCCTTGTTAATGTCTACTGTGGCTGCTGAAGTAGTCTGTTTGCACAGAGTCCTGTTGTTGCCTGGTGTTCAGACATCCTCATTCTGGGAAGCCCCAGCCTCTCCTCTCCCAGCACAGCCAGCAGGCCATACTTGCCTCCTGCTGCTTCATTCTTCAGTCCTGTTCTGTTGAGTGGTAATTGGTATGTGCTGTACTGACTAGGGCAGTGCAAAGCGTGGTCCCATGAAAGAGAATGCTGTCTGTGGAGTTTGTATTTGTTTGCAGACCTATATCCAGCCAGCTTTCCCTGAATAATCTAGCCGTTGCCATTATGGAAGTTATGCATTCTTTAACCAGTTTAACTGTTTGGTTTCTTGTTGGACTTACCAAATCAGTGCCTAAGCTAGCGAAAAATGCTTTTTTTTTTTTTAAGTGTCATGTAGGACATTTCCAGCATTCAGCATAATGAAGATAATGAGAAATAACAAGGACTATGCTATTTTGGCATAATTATTCATGAAAACATGAGTGTTTAGAGAGATAAAGAAAAGGCATTCCTTGTGATTTTTCAAAAACAACTTTGAAAACATTTGCATTTCACCTGTAGTAAAATGACTTTAGATTATGGAAGTTAGGAAAAGAATCTCAATATAATTAAATACGAGTGAGACATGTGTGTGATAGCTTCTCTACAGCCATGTTCAGTTAATGCTTCATTTGAATGTTTTGTGTCTTGAGATTTCTGAGCCTTTTCCTCCCCCAAATTGACAGAGTTCAGAGTATTTTCTTGAATAAAGAGTTATTATAAGTCATATCATTGTATCTTATATTTAACATTCCAAATGTTATTATCAACTTAATCATTAATACTTAACAGTGTACAAATAATTTTGTATGTTATTTGGAAAACATCTTGTTTTTTTCATAATGTTTTGTAAGTGGCTTAAAATTGCCTCCATTGAATAATGTATAGTGACACCATATACCAAGAGATGTTGCTTTTGCCATTCTATAGATTTTCAGTATTTTTTATAAAGCCACCAGGCATGAAAAGAATTTCATTGTAGTGTCCTTAAATCTTAAAAAAACAAAGCAGCATGGTGAGATGTAAAGGTACCTGGAGAGTCTTTGTCTTATTGAGTGTGTATTCCTAACTTTTACAGGCATTTTAGATCAGTCTGCAGTGTGGGTGGATGAAATGAATTATTATGATATGCGGACTGACAAGAATAAAGGGATTCCTCCCTTGTCTCTCCGTCCTGCAAATCCGCTTGGCATTGAAATTGAAAAGTGAGTACCATCTGGCTCTTTAATTTCTAGCTTCTAAGAGTTTTATGATCTTGCATTGGAGGGAATTACATTCAGGGATGAATTATTATTATTTTATGGTAATATTTATGAAGCTTATGAGTTTTACTTGATGAGTATTTATTAGATAAAACTTTTGACAAAATTATTTTGTGTTTTGGGGGGAGTTTACGTTTTGTGATTAAAAATGTTTTGAAATGTTAATAACTACTAACTTTTGGTTTGAGGCTTTGGTTGTGGAATGTAGGGTCCTTACATGCTATGTAACTAGTCTTCCACAGAGCTTCCTTGGTTTGTAACACACTCCTTTTTTGGTTTTTCAAGACAGGGTTTCTCTGTGGCTTTGGAGGCTGTCCTGGAACTCGCTCTGTAGACCAGGCTGGCCTCAAACTCACAGAGATCCGCCTGCCTCTGCTTCCTGAATGCTTGTAACACACTCTTAATTAGTGACATGACTATTAGTACATTTTAATATGTTTAGATGATTTTTGAAATCAATTGTATTATAATCTATTCATTTGTTTCACTTTCTTAGAAATATTTTAGAATAATTTGGTCCAAAAGAATCTTTTGTTTTTGATAGGTCCTGCTTAAATTCTTATTTAACCTAGACCTATTTAACTTTATTTTTCAGATTTGTGTCAGTTGAGTTATATCTTGTTTTTTAAGCAATTTAAAGTTTTGTTTTCATAATCCCAAGTATGGCCACTGTCTTAGTGTTTCTATTGTTGTGAAGAGATGCCATGCCCACAGCAACTCTTATAAAGGAAAACATTTAATTGGGTGGCTTGCTTACAGTTTCAGAGGTTCAGTCCACTATCATGGTCAGGAGCATGGCAGCATGCGGGCAGGCGTGGTGCTTCAGGAGTAGTAGCATGCAGCAGGAAATTGACTGACAGTTATACTTAAGCAAAAGAGATCTCAAAGCCCACCCTGACAGTGACACACTTCCTCCAACAAGGCCATACCTACTCTGACAAAGTCATACTTCCTATTAGTGCTACTTCCTATGAGCTTATGGGGCCAACCACATTCAAACTACCACAGCCACCTTTATCCATATACCTTAATCAAGTCATTTAACATATTAATTTTATCTCATCTATTTTCTGATTACAGAGCTACATGATTCTTAGTAATTCTGATTGCAGTTACATGATAGGTTTTATTTAGTCATGAGAGGTAGTAAGTTGTTAGTGCCTGAACCATATCTGTGTTTTAGATTTTCTAAGAATGAGGCATTTTTATTAATCTTTAAATACCGAACCTTCATGCCTACACTTGAAGATCATTAATACTTTTGAGGGAAAACTGCATTTTCACTGCTATAGTGTCCCTGCTCAAGGGTATGCGGGGGTGGGAGGGCACGCAGCAGACATTTTGGCCCTGAATTGTTTATTGAGACTGGTGTTTAGCAGCTTTTAGTGAGCTTGGGATGTCTAGGTAACATACTTAAACCATGGGACTTTCTAGAACTATTTCAAGGGTTTCAGCATCTTGTAAATTAAGACTGAAACAGTTCAAAATAGAATGGTAAAGGGCAGGTATGTTTGAGTGTTCTGCCAAGCATGGATAGATAGGCTTGAAGTTGACAGAAAAACCATGAAGGACCAGCCTCCAAACTCCTGGAGTCTTTGCCAGAGGCTGCTGTGAAGTGTGGGAGGGAGGGATCCTTCTGACTGATCTTCTTTTGCCAAGAGGCTACTCCCAGATGCAAGAGATTGAGGGGATGCACATGCTCTGTGGGAGAGTCAGACAGGCCTGCTGTCTTAGTAAGGTTTCTACTGCTGTGACAAAACACCATGGCCGAAAGCAACTAGGGGAGGAGAGGGTTTATTCCATCTTACAGCTTCAGAACTTCTTTACCTTTCTCTTACGAGGTAGTATGAGGTGACTTGGAACCAAACCTCCTGGCTTTGGATTACACATCCAGGGCTTACTACTGATGGATTACAATCAGGTCTTTCCTTGGGCTGTCGTGAGGGCTGTGCATGAGGATAAGCGAGCACTGCAGCCATAGTGGTTGTGTGCTTCTTATTGCCATGATGCTTTGCTTCTCCCTGACTGAGGACAAAAATCTTTTAAATAAACGCTGTAGTTGCATTTTATTGCGATGATAAAATACATTGACTAAAAGCAACTTAGGGGAGAAAGAGTTTATTTGACTAAAATTCCAGGTTATATTATTGTGGGGAAGTCAAGGCAGGAACTGAAAACATGAAGGGTTTTAGTAGGCTCAAGCATGGCAAACATGACTCTGGCAGATCTTGCCCTCCCCCATTCTCTCTTCCTTATTAAACTGTTAGTTTACATTCCTAAAGCTAGCCGCCAAAGTCTGTTTCCTTATTTGGAAGTTTTCTTATTCCAAACTCATTCCTGAGGCTGACCACCAAGGTCCAGGTTTCAACGTATTGAAGTCCAGCAATCAAGAGCCCACTTTTGGCTACCCTAATTAACCTGCCCAATAAAAACAAAACAACTCATCCTCACACAGTTTCCCGTTTTCTCCTTATAAACTGCCATTTGCCTATGGGTCATGCCTGCCTCTACTTTATCCAGAAGCTGTCTCTTGTCCCTCCAAGGCAAATATCCTTTCCCCTTCTGTAAATGGAGTTCTTAATTGGTCTAGATAATAAAAGCCTGGAGTCAGATACAGAGGAAAATGCTGAGAGATCAGAGAGAAGGAGCAAGGCAGGACCACATCTTACTTCCTTCGAGTCTCAGCAGACAAGAGAGCAAGTTCCTGTTTATCCCTACTTATAACCTGTTTCCACCCAGCCACATTACTTTCTTTCTGTACAGACCTCCAGACCTCTGTGGTTAGTAAGTGGCAAGCTCCATTCTCTGGCCCTCAGGCAAGCTTTATTTGTACAAGCAAGATATCGCCACACCCTTCTCCCTTGACCCCTTTCTTCCCTCTCTCTTGTCTCCTATCCAGTCTTTGGCCCTGCAGGGCACATAAGTCTACTTCGTGCTGAGAACTTGATCCTGGTATGCCCTATACCAGCTCTGGTCCTTTTATATCATATCCACAGTCATGTGCAAAGTAAGAGTGCTTGTTGCTCAGTACTCAGCTAGTTCACTTTTAAGCAGTTCTGGAGCCCAGCTGATGGCACCACCCACATGCAAAGTGGTTCTCCCCATCTCCATTCACAGTCAAGACAATCCACCACAGACATGCCTAGAGGCCCACCTGATCTAGACAGTTCCCCTGTTAGGGCCTCTTTCAAGATGATTCTAGGTTGTGGCAAGTTGACATTTAAAACTGTCTCAAGTAAGTTTATACAATAATAAATTGTGTTAAAATTGAAAATAGATATTATTTATTGAAATAGGTTTCTTTCCCTTCCCCTCTTTCTCTCTTCTTCCCATCTAAGAAAATTACATGGCTTTTACTGAATTCTGTACTTGAGGATTTGTTTATCCTTTTGATGTGCTGGAGGTGGAGCTAAGCATGAGATCTATAGTGAATCATACCCTGGCCCAGGTAGAAAGAGTGAGGGAAAGAAGAGGCAGAATGTCAAACACTAGTGTGGGGCTGTTTTCCTAATGCACTTCATAGTTTTTAGTAAACCTTTTGTCTCTGTAGAGAGTGATGCTGCATTTGGCTTAGACTTCTTAATGCCTTTAGTTTTACTGCGTTGTGTATGCATTCTGTAAATCATTTAAAAATGTAAATCTTTGAATGAGAAACATGGGGATTTTACTATTATTTACTAGTGGAAAGATAGTAATTAACAAGGTCTGAAGAAGTGTAAATGCATTTTATAAAATAATCAGCTGTGGTCCTGGTGACTTCTCAGACTAATGGGAGGCAGCCTGGTAATTGCCTTATGAATGTTAGAGTTCACTGTACCCACTTAGGTGTCCAGTGGAAGGGTGAAGACCTGTGCTGCCCTGCCTGCTTTCTTTGACGATGAAAAGCAAGTGAGAATAATACAATATAGGCTCCTTGTTGCTTTTGGTATGAGTCAGGTTTTAATATATTTTATTAGGGGGCCCAGCATGCATGCCGTCATCTTTCAGCCCACAAGTTTTTAACAACTGGCATTTATTGGTGTCTTAGACTGTTAAAGTCCTTCATGTCCCTAAATTTTTAACTGATGTTTTTGCACACATGGTGCCATGGTACTTATAAAAATGTTACTAATTGCTCTGAAAAGGTAACTTTACTTTGACGGAGACTGGGCTTTGCTTGTAAAAGGTCTGTATTTCTGATTTACTGTGTTGGTTGTCACAAGTATATATGTTCTTGCCTGGTTTCAGTTATAATGAATACAAACTGTTTAAGCTGTAAAATAAGATAAAAATAGGCTCCTAGTAAGTGAAAGTCTTCACTAGATTTTGTTTCTTGAAAGTCCTGTTCGCCCAAGGAGAATGTTTATCAGGGAAGTCTTGGCAGTGGTGCTTGTATGAAGTGAAGGCAGAGAAATGGAGTGTGGCTCCTGTTTTTAATCACCTCCCATTTTTTGAGTGAGCTGCTATTGGGGGTGGTGTCTGGAGCACTCAGTTGATGCTTGCATATTATCTGTTTTATTTCTACATGGCTTTTGGGCAGTGCACATCTGGCTCTGTTCTTATCAGGTCCAATTCCCAACAGAAAGAAACAGTGGCCAGTCTTCGCAGTACATTTAAGAAGCTGCCTTTACAAAAGGGCAGGGGGCATTAGAGTCATTCCTAGGAAGATCGTAGAAGTGTCTGAAATTTACCTTTTAGAATTTTGTAAAAGTAGATTTGTGGGTTATGGTACAGTGCCTAAGTCCAGAAACTATACCAGATTTTAAAATAAAACGTTTCCTATAATATTTAATGTAACATTATACATTATGTTGTTGAAATTGAAAGGTGAGAGAAATGAGTATAGCACTTGCCTTCTAAGCACAGCATCAGATTCTTAACTGTCAAGCAGCTCTCCTGCCTGCCGTTGCAGCATCGAGGAAAGCAGGCAAGCACACGGCATGGTTTGTGGTATGTGTTTTATGATCACTCCTGTTACCTATCTGTCTACTTGGTCAGATGCCTGAGAGAGGCTGACCTTTTTTGAAGGATGAAGTCTGAGTTCACACTGCCATCTAACGGAAACATTTTTAGGGGTAGCAAGAGCTTTGATTCCTTCATGACAATATCTTGGGAGTTTTCATGGTGTCTCTGGGTCTCCCTCTCCCAGTTAGTGGGGAAAGTGCAGATGGAGTCTGAGTACTCATCTTCTTTCCCTCACAGCCTTGTCTTGGAAGGCTCACCTCTTACATCCTGTAATCTTGACAGACTTGAAGCTGTGTGCTGTGTGCTCCAGCCTGACCCAGTGCTCCTTCTTTCCTTTTGCTGTGAGGAACATCATGGGCATTTTAAGTCTTCATAGATCTGCAGCAGTGCTTTTTTTCAGAGCTAAGATGGGTTCTTTGTTTAGCAGGAGTACCAGGCAAAACCATGACTAATGACATACCACCTCGAAGTATGTGTACTCATTTGTAAAAAGGAGAATATTTAATTTACTTGCTACGTTGAGGGTAAACACAATGGTACTTAAGGAAATAATCTGTAAAATGTAAAAAACTAGATATAAAGAAGAAAATTTAATAGCTGATAACATTTTTGAGTAGCTTTCCTGAATTGCCATCGATTTTAATCCTCAAGCTATTGCCAGGGGTAAGCTGTTGTGATCCTCAGGAGTAAATGGCATCTGGAGAGGTTAGCGGCTTTCACAGGCTGCATACAGGGGCCTTTGCTCTTTTGGGTACCTGACCCCTGTCTGTCCCCATGAGTCCTGGCATGAGTCATCTACACTTTGCAGCCCCTGTTTCTGTTTCATATTTTCTAGGTGTACATGTAAAGGATCAGTTTATTTTCACTTATTTTTAAGGCTAGAATATTAAATCAAGATGCTTTCAGCTATATGTAATGGAAAATGCCAATTAATTTGTTTTAAACAAAAAGGACATTTCTTTTCTTATAATCTACAAAATTCAGAGGTGACACTCTTAGTCATATCACTGAGGTTTGCAGAACTGAGTTTTCTTCTTCTGATAAACCAGTTTCCTTCATAATTATAAAATGTTTTCCACAATTCTTGGTTTTGAAACTTGGTATAATGATGTTCAGGGACAGAAGAATGTCTCTTTCTTCTGAATGCTCTTCAAAATTGCATGCCTTTTCCAGAAAGACTCCCATCAGTCTGTCTCAGATGTCACTGAACTGAGCAGGGCCACCACATAAAGAGTCAGAGGAGAGCGGCACATGCTTGGCTTGCTGCAGTCATTGCCCCCAATGCTAGTGCTGTATGGAGTGTCTCCTAGGAGTGACCACCCAGTGTGAGTGAGTGTATGGAGGAAGTCAGTGCATCTAAAGGCCATGGCTGGGGGTCCCTGACAGCCACCTTCAGGGAACATCATACTTTGTCAGAGGCCTTACGTTCTTTGTTCCCTTTCCTCTGTGAACCATGTGTCAATCTGTGTTGAAGATGTCTTTTAATAAATGCAACTCTGCTTCGTAGTGGTTCATTGTGAAATTCTTTTCTGTGTTGAAGGCCAGGATCTGGTTTTACCTGAGTTGAGATCTTTAAAATGTAAGGGAACTTCTCAGGCTGCTGGGGGTAGCTGTTGTCTTAGTTCCTGTCACCTCTGACATGACTGTATTAGGAAGGACTGTATAAACAGTTCAGTTGATCTCAAATCCATTTTCAAGTTACTGCCATGAGCTTGAAGTTTCAAAAGAGGCAGGATGCAGGTAAGGAGCAATAGATGTGTATGAGTACCTGCCCTGGTCAAGGTGAACTCTGAATGGATACTGTCTAAGTTGGATTCTGCAAGGTTGATGGACAGTGTTCTTGTCCTGTGAGTTGGTTATTCTGGTTCCTAGAAGGTGAACTTTTGCTCCAGAATGCAGCTTTGCTGTCATGGACAACTCTACTTGTCTGGGGGTGATCTGGCCAAAGTGACTACAGATTTAGGGAAAGAACTCCTTTGCTTTCAGTTATCTTATGGGCCCAAGTAATGAGTCAGGGCAAAACCAACTTCTCCCTCCCTCCCTCCCTCCCTCCCTCCCTCCCTCCCTCCCTCCCTCCCTCCCTCCCTCCCTCCCTCCCTCCCTCCCTCCCTCCTCCTCCTGCTCCTGCTCCTTCTTCTTGTTTTTTGTTTTTATGAGGCAGGAGTGTTTCTCTGTGTGTCGTGGAACTTGCTCTGTAGATGACAGAGCTGCCTTCCTCTGCCTCCTGATTGCTGGAATAGAAGGCGTGTGCCACTGTGTCTGGCTTGTAAAACCAGTTTCTGAGTGCCCATTACAGCCTACAGTGTGATATAGTAACTAACAGAGGAAAGACAGTCTATCACTATCTACCCACTCTGTAACAGTCAGCCTATCAATTGATCATGGCTGGGAGAAGGAAGAAAAAGTACTACTGTGGGGTGAAGATGAAGCATTGGTTGTGGTGAGGCTCCTTAGTATAAGTGAGCTGTGTATATAATTCTCTGATATGACTCCAGACACGAATGTAGAAACTCTGGAACTGCTCGTGTTTTCTTTTAGCATAGTGGTATTTCTCATTGAATAAAATGTAATGTCTATAAAGTGATGTCCTGCTTATACCTTATAATCTGGCTTGAGCAGTCTTATCAGGGCCTGGGAAGCATTTTCAATAAAGGGTTCTGCAAGTAAGAGGAAAAAATTCATACAAGCACAACATGTACCAAAGAGTAGAATCTGTTTGAGGTTCTGAAGCTTCTAGCGTGAGAACTAGGGTTGCAGAAATGAATCTTAAGTGAATATGGAGCTGAGAACTTGGACTTCCTCCTGCAAACAGAGAGATGGGTCAGCAGTAAAATTTGCAAAATTGTGTGACTAGGAACAGGGTCTGGTCAGGGTAGATACACTGTGAACTTTTTCTGGGGAGCAACAAACATCTGTTCACCTCAGATAGGACAATGGCAGGTTAAAGAAATGATTCCACCTGCATTGGTTAATTTTAAATGTCAGTTTGCCACAACAAAGTTTACATGGTAGTAATTCAGTCATAATATAGAAAGTATGTTCCATACTATGTTCAAATATATTCTTGATAGCTCATGGTATATAAACATAAAGGCTTGTATTTTAATTTATTGTGTAGTACTTGGTAATGTTAGTGTATCAGTTGTAACATATCTTAACTCTTTTTTGTCTCTAGAAGTAAACTTCCTCAGAAGGACTTAGAAGCGTTGTTCCATGGCATGAGTGCTGATTTTACAAGTGAGAATTTTTCAGCTGCCTGGTATCTCATAGAGAATCACTCCACCACCAGGTTAGTGGACTTTGGACCCTGAACTCTGAGGGGCTTCAGGCAATGGGCTTGTGCAGTAACACTGCCTTAAGTTTGGCCTTGCAGATGGTAACACAGCTGTAGGTTTGTGAGTTCTTTGCCATGTGAGTTCCTAACAGTCACAGTTATCTGTTTCCTTGTTTGTAAAATGTCATTCTTAGAAGACTTTTATTCCTCACCCCACCATTTCATGTTTCATTATTTGTGCAACTCATTAACATTTTGTAGAGTCTTCGTAGGGGACCTAAATGGATATATGTGAATGTGATGTACTTCCTTATCAGTCACACAAAAATGCTAAGTTCTGTGTGAAATGTGAAACACAGAGCTCAGAAACCCAAGTTCATTTGTTGTGATGTGAAGATAAGGAGAGGGTCGCATCTCCAAGCTCATTTGTTTTTTGGCATTTCCCTCAACTGTAAAGAACTCACTGGGGATTTTTCTGCCAGATTGATTTAAAACAGCAGTGTTAATGAACCCATTTAGGTAAAGGAGTTGTTTGTCACTTAAGATTTATATTCTTTGTAAGTCATTCAAAGTATATATTGGTATAATTTTATTCACTTACAGAGGTGAAAACCATTATTAGAAAACACAAGGAAAAGTTGGTATTTTAATGCATAAATAAATTTGGTCTGGTAATGCTTTAAATCACATGCTAAGAGTCAGTCTATAATTGTAGAAGTTAGCTTTATTTGTAGACAGGCTTTTACTGTCATAGCTCAGAATCGATGTGTTTGCTGTAGAGTTACTATGGTACTTAAAATAATATTGAGATTTTTATTAACAGATTTTGTTGGCTCAAATGGAAATACAATTTCTAAATACAGATGCTGCCTTTTGTCCCTGTCAGCTTTTGATAGAAATAAAGGGGTGTGGTCTTATTTGCTGCTTTATTACAAACTTTAAGCTAGCATACACAATAGTGCGTTTCATCTCGCTGCTTCACACATGTATCTCATGTGCTTTGTCTCTTCTTATTTAAATTGTGAGTCACCCAGAGGCTTTGCATAATTTTGTCATTAAGGACAGAGGTCTGTGTATTGAGATTGACATGATCATTGTGCTCAGTGTTCCAGGATACTTGCACTTGCACTTGCAGGAGTGAGTGGAAAAATTAGCCTTTGAACTACTGACTGGGCAGGATGGGTCTCCTGTCAGTCAAAGATACTCAGAACCTTTGTCTGCGAAATCGTGTATATTATATCTCTGGACATACTTGGAATTAGTGAAGCTGTAATACTTGTTTTATATCTCTCGGGCATCACTGTGAATACAAGGCTAAAATCTAGATAAGAATTTGAGAGACTTTCGTTTTTATGTGGTTATTATGTTAATACTATGCTTCACAGAACCTTTAGCATTCCTATTCCTTTACACTTAATGGGTTATCTTGCAAGAAATCTCCGATGGTTGATTTCTTTTAATTCATTACAGTTTTGAGCAGCTCAAGATGGCAGTCACCAACCTCAAAAGGCAGGCCAACAAGAAGAGTGAGGGGAGTCTGGCCTATGTGAAGGGTGGCCTCAGTACCTTCTTTGAAGCTCAAGATGCTCTCTCAGGTAAGGTAACCCTGAGAACCATCTGCTGAGGCTTCCACTGTGGAAACCTGACACTGCTCCCTCGTGTTTATGGGGTGTGACATTCAGTCTGTATTTATAAAAGTAGAGGTTTAAAACGTTCCATAAATATTTGTTGCAGGCTAGGCTGGAATCTCTTTGAAGGCCTAGTACTGTAAATATTTGTCTCGAAAGCTCTGCTGCCCCATCTTACATGTGAAACAGGAGACTCCTGTTCCTCTCCATGATGCTCAGTCTTTGGGGTTGATAAGAAATTGAATCCCAATGGGCAAAGTTCTCGAATTCTTAAAATCCTTTTACAGACATCCCGTTTTACTCATTCTAAAAATGTTCCCCATTATGTGTTTCGTTGGGGAAGAATTGATGAAATGTGTTTTTTTTTTTTTTTTAGCTGTTATCCCAAAGGCCCCCAACATACACAATCAACTGCCTACTCTCTGACATCATCATTACAAGAAAGGAAAATTATGTTATCAGAGTTTTAGATACTACAATGAAAGACACTGAGTTGGTTTCTATAGTGAAAATATAATATGTACTTTTATGTTATTAGTGTATATAAATATGCATGAGTAAAATTTACCATAATTGCTTTTGAAAATGAAAGTCCTTATAACTAAGTGCGTATATGCTATTAATAATCCATTTGTGTGTGTGTGTGTATGTGTGTGTATGTGTGTGTGTACCATAGCACCTGTGTGGAGGTCAGAGAACAACTGTGGAAGTCAATTCTTTTTCCATAGTGCTTGGAGATGAAACTCAGGTTGTGAGGCTTGGTGGCAAGCCTTACCACTGAACTATCTTACCCATCCCCAGCTATCCACCTTTCTTAGTTGTATATTAAAAGACTGTATCTTCTTCAGAAAGACGGACTTTTAATAGTAAACATGTATTAAGAACTCTTTTTTTTAAATAAATCAGATAATTATATCCCTCTCTTCTCTAAGTGTGTATCTCATATTGCGCCTTCCTTGTAAGTGGAAGTTAGGACTTTGGTTGTGTGAAATATGCATGCTGGAAGGAAGTAGAACAAGAAGAGTCCCTGGTGTCCTGTGATTACTGATGTGTCATTGCTATCTTTCTGCATTACCAGTAGTTACTCTTATGGCAACAAGAGAGACCTGAGCTTGTGTGAATAGTTTTGTGCTGTAACGTAAATGCAGTATTTACCAGACATTACTCTAGAAGTATGTTGGGAGCTTCAGATTTAGCAAAGATCATACTGACTGTTAGTGGCTTAATGACTTTATAGCAATATAAAATGGTTATCATAGTCATTTTAAAGATATTAGCAACAGGCCATAAATTTGGCCGTTTTTTATAGAAAGAGAAAGCATATTGTTGAAACGCAGAAATAATTAACCAGAGTTACTTATAGGTGGAGGTTGTCATATTAACATTGTGATGTATTTTCTTTGCTAATATTAAGAATATGTTACAATGAGATCATACCATATGTAGAGTTATATGTACTAGATACCTTTTGTTTTTCATTAAATTATTTTGCTTGTTTATATTCATTGTGCAAAGTGATTTTTTTTGTAGTTTTTTTTTCAAATAGCTCATGTACTTTGTTTATATTTCCTTCCAACTCAATTCCTCTTGTTCTTATCTCAGGTAGTTCTCCTTCCATCCATTTCTGTCTCTAGAGAGAGAGACAGACATCTGGATCTGCTAAATTTACTTAGTAAAATCTCCAGTTTGCCTTTTCCTGTAAAGACACAGCTTTGTTCTTACTGTGGCTGAATAAAACTCTATTGTTTATCTATATCTATGTCTGCCTGTCTATCTGTATCTATCATCTATCTAATCTGTCACATTTTTCTTACCTGTGCATCTGTTGGTGGACACCTATGGTGATTTGCTAACTTGGCAGTTGTGAGTAACACTGCAGTAAACATGGATTTGCAGGTCATCTCTGTGGTATGCTGACTTAGATTTCTTTGGATGTATTCCCAGGAATGGTATTTATCTAGATTGTATGATAACTCCATTTTTAATCTTTTGGGGAATCTTCATAATGGCTGCAATTGGTTTACATTGCCAGCAGTGTCTAAAGGTTCTTTTCCTTACCAAACCCTTGCATCCTTGACAGTACTGTTTTTTGTTTGTCTTTCTTAGTGAGGGGTGAGGTGGAATCTCAGTGTAGTTTCCATTTGACTTTCTCCAAGGACTAAAGATGTGATCATTTAATCCTGTGTCTGCTGGGCCTCAATACTTCATCTTTTGAGAAGTGCCCTTTGATTTCCTTTTTCCGTTTATCAGAATTATACAGGGTTTGATATTTATTTTTTTAGTTCTTTACATATTCTAGATATCAGTCCCCTGTCAGATCAATAGTCAGCAAAGATTTTCTCCATATCACTGTCTTTCCTTCCCTCCCTCCCTCCCTCCCTCCCTCCCTCCCTCCCTCCCTCCCTCCCTCCCTCCCTCCCTTCCTCCCCCTCTCTCCTCCCCTCTCTCCTCCCCTCTCTCCTCCCCTCTCTCCTCCCCTCTCTCCTCCCCTCTCTCCTCCCCTCCCTCCTCCCCTTACTCCTCCCTCCTCCCTCCCTCACTCCTCCCTTCTCTCTCCCTCCCTCCCTCTCCCACCCTTCCTTCGTTCTTTCCTCCCTTTATTTATTTTTACTGTGCCAAAGATTGTAATTTTATATAATCCATTTGTCAAATCCTGATTTTATTTTCTGAACAGTTTTAGTCTTTTACAGAAAATCCTCTTCAATTCTATATTTTGAAGGGGTTTTCTCTGTTTCCTTTGAGCAATTTCACAATTTAAAGGCTTACAGTAATGTCTGATTCTTTTTGTGCATGTGTTTGATTGATTGTTTTTGTTTGTTTGTTTAAAATCAAGTGAGAGATGGGGATATAGTTTCATTCTGTGGATATCCAACATGTGGACATAATTTTCCCAGAACCATTTGTTGAAGAGGCTGTTTTTTCTCCAGTATATGTTTTTGACACCTTTGTCAAAAATTAGGTAGCTACAGCTACGTGGGATTGTTTTGGAGTTCTCTATTCTATTCCATTAGTTTGTGTGTTTTTGTGATAATACAATGCTGATTTTCTTATTGTGTCTTTACAACTTCAGTAATATATGATACCCGATATTGTTCTTTTTGCTCAGGGTTGCTTTGGCTACTCAAGAGTGTTTGTGCTTCCCCATGAAACTCAGGATGACAGTAGGACTGGTAATGACAAAAAATGTATGGGGGGGGGTTCTATGGGACCCTGCTGAACAACACCTCGAAAAGTAGACCACACCTGGCACTTTTTATTTGATAGTCTATGGCTTCTCCCCATTCTACTATAGGATAACACTCCACAGTGTTACCTGTACATGTGTACATGCATGCATGTGTGTGAATACACACATATGTATATGTGTAGAAGTATATATTTTATGAAGATTCTGCAATAATAGGAGGTTTCCATATTGCCTTTTCAGGGAGCCTTCTATTAGTTATCTCTTCCCATGCTCCCTCTTATTCCCTGCCCCCTTATTCCTACCCCATTTAACTTTCCTGTTTCATTATCCTCTTTTCTCTTTCATACTACCTGTGCTCTACCTCTCTTCCTATGAAATCTCACCTTCCCAGTATGGGCTCGTCACATTTCCTGCCTGCTATGGGTATTCTACAAGTTATGCACACATGTGAAGATTCAAAACAAGCATCTACATGTGCAAGAGACCAGGCAGCATTTATCTTTCTGGGTCTGGGCTACCTCATTCAGAATGATTATTTCTAGCTCTATCCATTTACCCATGAATTTCATTTTTCTTTATAGCTAGATAATATTCCAATGTGCCTGTGTACCACATTTTCAATGTCCATCCATCAATTGAAGGATATCTAGGTTGTTTCTGTTTTCTAGCTGTCATGAAGAGCAGTAATGAATATGGATTAACCAGGTGTTTATATAGTAGGGTGTAGAGTCCTTTGGGTATATGCTCAAGAAGCATGTAGCCAGATCATAAGGTCAAACTTTTTGTAGCTTTTTGAGGAACTTTCACACTGATTTCTGTAGTGAAATCAGATTGCACTCCCACCAACAATGAATAATGTTAAAAAATATTTCTTAACCTTCTCTCTTCTTTTGAGAACTCTTTTTAGTTCCCTGGCTCAATTTTTTATGAATTAATTTTTTAATTTAAATTAGAAGCAAGCTTGCTTCACATGTCAATCCTAGCTCCCTCTACCTCCCCTCCACCCCCACCACCCACCAAACTTCCCAACCCCCCACCTAATCCCCACTCCACTCCCCAGGGAGGATGAGGCCCTTCATGGGGGATCTCCAAAGTCTGTCATATCATCCAGAGCAGGGCCTAAGCCCTCCCCCATGTGTCCAGGATGAGAGAGCATCCCTCCATGTGGAATGGGCTCCCAAAGTCCATTTGTATGACAGGGATGAATACTGATCTACTACCAGAGGCTCCATAGATTGTCTAGGCTTCCTCACTGACACCCACATTCGGGGGTCTGGATAAGTCCCATACTGGGCTCTCAGCCATCAGTCTGGGATCCCTGAGCTTTCCCTTGTTACAAATCTCAAGTAGCATGTTTTTTTCCCTTTATGCCTTTTTTTTTTATAAATCTTCTTCTTAAGACCATTTGTATTTATAACTGTAATACTATTAGATCAAATAATACAATTAACAAGAATTCATTTTCAGCTCACCTCTTAAACTGAAATGGTTCCTTCTCATTTCTTACTCTTTTAATATTTCATGTCATTGAAGAAACAATACCATTTACCTTGTATGGTATTCCACTCTGGGAATTTCACTGATTTCTACCCCATGGTGTCATTTAACATCATTGTGTTTCTGGATTCAATTTTAGTATCTTGGTCTGAGATCATGTCATTCTTGTTAGACCAGAAGTCTTAGTGTGTGGCAGGGCTGGTAATGATGATCGTTAGGCTTCATCACACACACACACACACACACACACACACACACACACACACACACACACACACACAGT